TCCTTCCTCCTCCACTCGTCCTCGTCCTCGTCCTCGTCCTCGTCCTCCTCGTCCTCGTCCTCGTCCTCCCTCCTCCGTCCTCCTCCTCCTCCTCGTCCTCGTCCTCCTCCTCCTCGTCCTCCTCTCCTCTCCTTCTCCTCCTTTCTTCCTCCTTCTCCTCCTTCTCCTTCTCTTGCTTCTTTTCCTCCTCCCCCCCCTCCTCGTTCTCCTAACCCTTTTCCTTCTGCTACTGGTACTGGTACTACAACAACCATTACTCCTATAGCCTCCTCTTCCTTCTGCTACTCCTGCTGTTCCTGCTCCTACTCTAATTCTACTCATACTGAACCACCGCATCCTGGCAATCCTGGCAAATCCAGCATATTCTCTTCCTTTCTTGGCATCCTCTTCTCATCCAAACTTGACTTATGCTGCTCTCCTCCTTTTCATGTGTGTTCCACCAGCTTCTTGTGTTGAGACATGATCAGGTGAAAGAGAGGGAGGCCGGACCATCGGAGGGATGTCTGCTGGGGTCAGTAAGGTGAGGGCGGGAGGGGACAATCGGCGATTGTGACGATGAAGCAAGGAGAGACTCGGCGTGGATAGGGATGAAGGAGATGTACGCGGCTCTGCGATACGAGAGGAAGCTGACAAGATCGAGTATCGAACGTGTAGCCGAGATGGCGAGCACGGAACAAGCCTGCTATCTCCTGCTCCTCCTCGCTCCTGAGAGCCGCAACTGTCTCTTGCGAGACGTTCTTGATCGTGAACAGCATGACATGAAAGTGATGTTTTCGGCTCTTATCAGGCCACTTGTGGTGCATCTCGACGAGCAAAGTGTCAAGTTGCTGATAGATAAGACTATGACCAAGACAGCAGTCATGTTGCCCTCAGACCTCACCGACCTCGTCCGCCATGTCATGCCGGGCATTTCGTTCCTTGCCGAGCGAGAAGCTGAGAGAGGGCATGCCGAGGACCCCAGAGAGACAAGGATAGGTGAGACTTGCTGTGCTGCGAGCGTCGGTGAAAGCTCCATGCAGGGGCTGCTCTCACCTCGCTCCTACTTCATCTGGGTATGGACGGCTGATCCCTGGCAGCTGTTGACGTTGTTTGCCAGGTTGGATTCCATTGTTGAGCTCAACGAGATTGTTTCCCGACACAAGAGACATCTTGCTCACGTTGAGGTGGATGACGAGCAGGCGAAGGGGGATGACTGAGCCTTCACGCAGCTCGCCAGGGTGTCAGGAGCTGGAAGTCTTGCAAGAGATCAGAACCTTGCTCGGCATCACCCGGAACGCGATTGCTGCGCCCAAACTGAAAAGTGTTCAAGGGACTATGAACCAGCACTGGTCCATCAACCATGCATGTCAGACGCAACGATCCGCGAGGAGAAGATGTTTCGACAAGCTGGTGGACCTCACGCAGGCTTGCTTGTCTTGCTCGCACGAGAGTAGATGGCGATGGTGTGTCTCCCAAGATTGACTGTTTGAGTCTCCCAGGAGAACCGACGCGTGAGATCTCCGAGATAGAGGAGACGGTGAACAAAGTCGACACGGTAGAGTTGCTTCTGATTTACTAGGCGATGATGCGCTTTGCAGGATGTTCTCCCGACACTCGTCTGCGAAGTTTTACAGCACCTCCTCTCTACCGAGACCTTTCCGAAACTCATGCTGCGACAACCAAGCTCTTCCTCTCTTCCTAGCTGGCTGCTTGTCCGCTTTACCATCGGGATGAACAAACTCTCTGCATCTCTTGCTCCTCCAGAGCAGCAGCAGCAGCAGCAGCAGCAGCAGCAGCAGCAGCAGCAATCATGCACACAACCCTCGTCATCGTTGCGCAATCGCAAGAAAGTCGATCGCCTGCAGGACGACGGGATCTGTCAGGTCTGACCTCCTCGCCTGTCACTTGCTCCTCATCATCTTTGCAGGTCGCCATCTTGGCTCTCCTTCATCCGAGGCTGCTGGTGGAGAAGATGGTGATGGAGGTGGCGGTTAAGAGGAGGCAGCCGAGCTTCGCTTTCAGCTGCTTGTCAACCTTCAGCGAGCTGGTGAGCTGCTGGGCTTGTCTGGACCAGCTGACGAGTAGCAGGCAGAGGTGATGGTGGACAGAAGCTCTCTCCTCGTGCATGTTCTGCTCCAGCTCCTGTCCAGCTCTAACATTGACCTCTCCGCCCCGACGACCCGCGCTGCTTGCCTTCATCTCCTCCTCCTCCTCTCCTCCTCCCGTCAGTGTCACTCAGTGCGAGGCCTCCGGCTCCTCTCTCACCTCCTTCTTCCTTCTCTTCTTTCTACCTCTGCCTCCTTCACCTCTCCTCCTCGAGATCCTCGAGCTGCTTCCCAGCTCGGGTTCGTCATGCTGGCGCTTGTGCGCGTTGACTTGTCGTGGAGCACGGCGAGCAGGTCAGGAGCAGACGCGAAGGGGAGGAGGAGGTGACGCTGCTGCTCCAGCCGTGCCCGAGGGCTCCTGCTCGTCTCCTTGGTCTCTCAATTGTTGCGAATCCATGGGAGGAGAAATGAGCTGCTGCCGGCTGACATGACGTTGGCAGAGGTGTCCCTTGCTCCTGTCCTTTCTGCCAGAAGCCATGTTCACTTGTCCTCCTCCTCCTCCTCCTCCTCCTCCTCCTCCCT